CTTAGTGGGCTCCACCTCCAGCCATCCAAGAGCGGGATTCCCAGTCCCCCTTCAAAAGAGCAGAGAACCCAAGTCACCTCTGGTCCCATGGTTTCCTCCAAGCGCTCAGGAAGCTCAGCCCAGCATATGGAGCCAGAACTCCAAACGGGCAGAATGTACTCCTCCTGGTCTAGAGCCTTTCTATCCCTTCTGGGCACGTCTCTGACCGCGAGCACCCCTCTGTTCCTGACGTCAAAATTCCCAGGGCCAGGCCTCTCATGCCAGGCACTTTAGATACGCTATTGAATAACTTTTGGAGGTTTTAAGACCGAAGTTCAGAAAAGCCTACTGGAGCAGGAAGGATATCCCAAGGGCCGTGGCTGAACTCCTCTCCTATGCCTTCTGCTCAGGGATAGCAGAGATCTTGACGAGTGAATCAGGCTCTGCCTACCCTTTGTCCTTTGTCAATATTGCTAAAGACAACCACCATCTTCAGTGAAGCTGCCGCTGGGTGGCGCAAGAGCTGCTTTGAAGGGGACTATGGAAGAAGCCATGCCCGGTAATCATGAGTCATCCCCTTCAGTTCAGCGTGCGCTCACCCTCAACTTGTCTTCTAACGTGTGCCCAGGGATTCAAGACTCAGTCACTGCATTTAAGGAAACACGCTGTGGGGCTACAGAGGCTCCTTGGCAGGGGAAGCTTCACTCATGCTAGGCAAGTATTCCCCCACTGAGCTACCGCCCCAGACCAAGCATTCTGCGTTCTGACTGCCACATCCTCTGCCTTCTGCCCCAACTTGTGACATAACTACTGACTTGTGAAGTCAAGCAAAGAAAGGGCCTTATTGCCAGGATGGATGACGGGTGCAAAGGGAGCCCCAGGACTGTGGATTTGGAATCTCCAAAGTTCAGACTCCTGCCAAGCCCAGTAGAGTCTCCTCCCAAAGAGACTGGTTTCTGTTTCTCTAATATGGTGTCTTAGAAATTTGTCTGCAATGGTACTGAAATTGAACATCCAGAACACAGACAGGAAATCCAGCCACAGGGTGACCAGCACAGACTGTCCTAACTAAGGATGAACCACGGAAGGTTCCCGGGTTTCGAGAGCTTGTGGTAAGGGTAAATTTCCCTTCTCTCCCTTGTCACAAGTTTTAAAAACCTCACAGCTTGTATAATGCAACCACTTGGGATCCGCTTTTAACTTGGTCTAGTGTAACTCCGTCATACAATAAACTGAAAGACATTAATTAATTAATAGCCATCACACGTGGGAATTAATTTTTGTTCCCATCCCCCATCCTCCCACCCCATTTCCAGGGCTCACCAGAATGCATGGCCAGTCTCCTGCTGTGGAGACCATCTCCCTTTCCGGATTGGGTCCCTGTCTCTTTCTATAAATGCAGATACTGCTCTGGCATTCCCCCTACCATCTTCAACTGAAAAACAAGCTGCCTACGGAACACTGTTCAGCAGGTCACCCTGGTTTCCGCAAACTCGGGGTTGAAAGCAATGAGAAGTTTGCTGGAGGATTTTTGGTTGCTCTGCAGAGAGTCCCCAGGTAGATCACACATGGCGACAACTTCTTTCCAAACTACAATTCAGTCTTTTATAGTCTCCATGCTCAGCATCGATGGTAGTTGTTCTTGTCATGTTCACCCACATCTCGAAGTGGTCTTGGGGTTAAAGTACAAGGTGAATGCATAGCTCTGTGAATAATGCTCCCCTCCACGGGCAGGCAGGCAGGGTGAGGGCTCTGCTGAGAGTTAACTGTGTTGTTCAGCTTTGAACTACCGGAGGAAATACTGAGAGATCAAGTTTGATTTATCTATTTCAGAAGTGGAGGGCATGATTGTTTGGCCCTGTTGCCTGGGAGGCAGTAGCACTTAGTACACTGAAGTACTGGGAAGCAAAAAGAAACAGGAAGGGACCAAAGCTACAGTGTCACCTTCCAGAGCATAACCCCCCTCAATGACCAGACTTCCCTCCGCAAGGCCCCACTGGCCAATAATGCCATTATGTAGTGGCATGTGTTGGGGTTGGAATCCAAATCAAACAACTGTCTTAGAATTAAAAATCACTTGACAAAGCCAGCCCAGAAACAACAGGGGCTCCTGTAACCACAAACACCGACAGCTATCGGAGAAAAAGCAGCTTGGAAGGGTGGCAGTCTTACATTTGAGTCTCTCTAACTTGCATTCCCGGCTGCTAGCAGTGGCGTTCTTTTCCCTTGAAAGTCTTGTCTTTAATGGTAGGTTCTTATTATAAGAAATGGGATCAGTGGAAAGGAGGAGACATTTTATATGAGAAACTCCCCCTGAGAAAAATTGGTAGAGTGCTTACCTAATGGGGACAAAGCCCGAGGTTAGAATTCCAGCCCCACATAGACTTGGTGGAGGCAAAAGGATCAGAAGTTGGCGGTCATGGGGTATTCAGGGTCGGCCTGGGTTATACGAGACAACCCCCCCCCTCCCTTTTCAAGACAGGGTTTCTCTCTGGCTTTGGAGGCTGTGGCTATCCTGGAACTAGCTCTCGTAGACCAGGCTGGTCTTAAACTCACAGAGGTCCGCAGGCCTCTGCCTCCTGAGTGCTGGGACTAAAGGCATGTGCCACCACCGCCCGGCAAGACCCTATCTCAAAAGACAAAGCAAAGTCCTTTAACTGTGGTCTACAAACCAAAGCATCTACCCCAAAGGAATTTAACGTTCATGAACTTTAAAGATCCTCCTCCACTGGGTGCCTCTTAGTGCACAAACTTCCCCACAGATTTATGAGGGCTCCTCCACTTTGGGAATATGGGGGAAGGGAAAGCACATGCCCCATTGAAGAGACAGCATCCAGAGCTAGTCATAGAAGCCACCATCCCTTCCTGACAGAGCAGCCTCAGGACCAACCTACAGGAAACCTCATGAATTTGCAGTAAGCTTCCCTACTAAGAACCGGAGTCCAAATACACAAAGAGAAAGACACCTTGGGACACAAAGCTCTAAATGGGATGTTCCCATCAAACCCCTCCCCCTCAGAGCTCAGGGAACCCCACAGAAAAGGAGGCAAAAAGACTAAGAGCCAGGGGTTATAGAGGACATCAGGAGAACAAGGCCCTCTAAATCAACTGAGAATAGCTCGTATGAGCTCACAGAGACGGCAGCAACAAACACAGGACCTACATGGGTCTACACCAGCTCCTCTGCACATATATTATAGCTTTCAGTTTAGAATTTTTGTGGGACTCCTGAGATTGTAAACAAGTGGGTCTTTGATTCTCGTGCCTTCTCTTGGGCTCTTTTTCCTTCTGTTGGTTTGCCTTGTCCAACTTTAAAGATTTATTATGTATACAGTGCTCTATCTGCATGCATGCCAGAAGAGGGCACCAGATCTCATTACATATGGCTGTAAGCCACCATGTGGTTGCTGGGAATTGAACTCAGAATCTCTGGAAGCAGAACCAGTGCTCTTAACCTCTGAGCCATGTCTCCAGCCCCACCTTGTCCAACTTTGACATGATAATTTTTACCTTATATTTTATTGTTATCTCTTAAAAGTGGCAGTGGTGGATCCAGATGGGAGGGGAGGTGGTGAGGAATTAGGAGTAGAGGGAGAGGAAACTGTAACCAGGATATATTGTATGAGAAAAGAATCTATTGTCAATAAAGGGGAGAGAGGCCTGACTTCCATCACACGCCACCTGAGGCACCAGCTCCGCAATGAGACTCAACTGTATTATGTAAACTGACCAATTATTCCCAAGGATGAGTGGCTGCTGTGACTATCCAATTCTGAAGATTCCTGTTTTGGTTTTTGTTTTACATGTATGTATCTATTAGTGGGAAGTGCCACAATGCACACAGAGAGCAGAGACAACGTGTGGGAGTCAGTTCTCTCCTTCCGCTATGTGGGCACCAGAGATCCAGCTCAGGTTCACAAAATTTGAAGGTTAGGCCCTATGGCTGAAGATAAGTCTTTGGACATGGGAACTGGGAGAATCAAACTGGAACTGACCTGGGAGCCTCCTCCCTGAGGATGGGCTTTCATGGTATCAGAAGGTGCTATGCAAGCTTCCAAGGGAGAAAAGCAAACAGTAGTCCTACTAGCTGTGAAGGACAAACCACAACAATGACATCACCAATGTTGCAATAGTGGCATTATTATCTTGGGGGTAACCAAGAGATGTCTAATTAGACTTAAGGCTGACTCAGTAGGAAGGAATTCCTATCTGGGACTGTAAATCAAGCCAAACTACCAGTGGCTACGGGACAACCTACCACTGTTGCTTTCCTAAACCAATACAGTTTCTTACTGCATTTTAAATACTAATCCCACAGGTAAGTTAGACCTCACCCACCCACCAAAGCTTCCTTTTACATTAGACGGAGGCCACTACAGAGAACCACAGCTGCTCAACATGCAGAGAGTAAGTGGCTGGAAGGTGGCAAGCATAAATAATTCATCTACAATGCGACTCCTATACCAAAGACTCGGGAAACACCTCAGGAGAGAGGGAAGACTAAGAGTCAGAGGTCCAGGAGGCCTGTTCTGAGAGTGTCATCTAATCATGACAGGGATGCAGCAGCCACGAAATCTCAATAAAATGCTTACCTAAACAACGACATTATGCTTACCAGCATAATGACAGCACTCATCAATATTCCAACCAGGACAGGGGTGATTCCACAAGGTCCCACCCCTAGATGAAGAACTACAGGGTAGCAATGGCTACTGACAGAGGGGGATCAGTCTTCTCCAGATGGCCCTTGGATAGGTTATCCATGTCAATGTGGTCAGCCCTGAACATATGTACAAAACACTAAGTGGGCTCAGAGTGTGTGTGTGTGTGTGTGTGTGTATGTGTGTGTGTGTGTGTGTGTGTGTGTGTGTGTGTGTGTGTAGCAATAATAATTACAGGAGTGATCATAAACTTGAGGGAGCAGGAAGACACATGAGGAGTTGAATGAGGAAAGAAGGGTGTAGAAATATGCAAATATTGTACCTTTTTAAGAAATTCTTAAAAAATAAGACTGAAAAAGATGAAACCTCAAATATAGATTTATTGTATATATACTGGCTATTAACACATTTCAGAAAACAAGACTTTTTTTTTACAGTTTTCAAAAAGAAGCAAAAACAAAACAAGGGGCTTGTGGAGTGACCACCAGAAAATGCAGCTCCAGTCCTTTGCTTGGAAAGGACTTCCTCTAAGGTGCCCATCAGCAGCTAGGTCTCCATAAAAAACAATCCCGCTCTTCAAGAACACACCCTGGAGAAACATCTGCTCACTGCAGCTCACTACTCCCAGGTCTCCCTGCGGGGGAAGCAGAGGTCACTAACTCTTTCAGAGTTCCAGAAGTCAGTTCCCAGCACCTGTGTGGCTCCAGCTCGAGGGGGATTTGACACCGGCTTCTGGTCCCTGTGGGCACCTGCACAAAACTGAATATACACAAACACAGATCTGCACACACACATCCATATAAATAAACTGAAATGAGATCAAACCCATCAATATTCTAGCTAGGAATAAGGAGTTCACGAGCACGGCTTCTGGGGGAAGGAGAGTCCATTTTTTCTAAGGGTGTGGCTCCTGGGAGGTGGCTCACTCTCCGGTGGATGGTTTCATACGGACAGCGCCAACAGGACTCGGTGGACTAGCAAGATAACATAAATAGCAAAATAAATGACGCGGGAAGCCGGGCGGTGGTGACACACCCCTTTAATCCAGCACTCAGGAGGCAGAGGCAGGGGAATCTCTGTGAGTTCGAGGCCAGCCTGATATACAGAGTGAACTCCAGGACAGCCTCCAAAGCTACAGAGAAACCCTGTCTCGGAAAATAAAAAAAAATTACATGGGGACACAAGGAAGGTGAATCCAGATGCTGTTGAAGGAGGGATGAATATTATCAAGACACATCGTATGGCTGGGTGGTGGTGGCGCACACTTTTAATCCCAGCACTCAGGAGGCAGAGGCAGGCAGCTCTCTGAGTTCAAGGCCAGCCTGATCTACAGAGTGAGTTCCAAGACAGCAAGGGCTACACAGAGAAACTCTTGTCTTGGGGGGGTGGTACACTGTATATTTTCAAAGATTTAATGAAAATATTTGAAAGAGAGAAAATGAAGCAGCATGTTCTCATGTCCACCAGGCATTTTTTTTTTTTTTTGATTTTTCGAGACAGGGTTTCTCTGTGGCTTTAGAGGCTGTCCTGGAACTCACTTTGTAGACTAGGCTGGCCTCGAACTCACAGAGATCCACCTGCCTCTGCCTCCCGAGTGCTGGGATTAAAGGCGTGCACCACCAACGCCCGGCGCCCACCAGGCATTTAATATGTCCCAAAGACCCTCTTGAGTGCAGGGTCAGGACTCAGTCCCCAAGTCCAGCCAGCCACCTTAAAATGGGCTTTCTCCTCAGAGCCAAATGTCCTTTCCTGTTAGCTGGTTGTATATGTATTGAATTCTAATTACCAACATGTTTTATTTTCAAACTCCAATTTTAATTATGTTACTATCCTATTTTAAGGGGGGTGGGGCAGCCTGTAGTCTCAGCACTGGGGAAGTGAAGGCAGCTATAAGCAAGAGGATCAGGAGTCCAAGATAATCTTCCCCACATGGTGAGTTCTGGGCCATTCTGGACTACTACCATCTGAACTACTACAGTCAGAAAAAAACAACAACAACAAACAAAAGAAAAATCCTTGTAGGAGGCAAACATGACCAAAGCATGGTATCCATGTATGAAGGTGTCATAAGGAAACCATTACTTTGTGCAATTGAGGTATGCCGATAAATGCTGATAAAAGAATTAAGATACATACACATTTTACTTTTAAGTGTAGACTTACATAGTATCTTCCCATAACGCTTAGGCCAATAGATGACTAAGAATTCTTTGTTCACATGCTGCCACCTGGTGACCAAAGTGACAAAGCTCTGAATGGCTACCACAGAAAAAGAAAACCCCTGATTCACCTGGTTAGCGGATAATCTGAAACGTGAGGTGGAAAAAAGTCTTTACAGCTCTGGCATTCCGAGCTATGGCTCACTTTGCCTGTAAAGAATGGCAATAAGAGGCTTATGGGGGAACTGGCTGACCAGACAGCAACTTGCTGGCTATATCCCAGTGTGAAAGAGGAAATCCCCTTACAGTTTGCTCGCAAAGCACCTCAGCTTTGCTTACTCCTATTACTTCCAGGTAGTCAGAATTCCGTTGTGAAGGTGACAGAAGACCCTGTAATGTCATGTGACTGTGCCTCACATGGCTTCCACAAGCAGCAGCCACCTTCCTCTCGCTCATGTAAAGATGAGTGGACTGTCAGCTTGTTGGAGCAAGTCAGACAGGTCCACACCAGGGGACTCTATAATCGTGAGTCTCCACTCGCTCCTATACATCTGGGTCCTTGAATGCAAAAGTAAATTCCCAGCTGCCAGGAGCTAAAGTGTCTGTGGTGTGAAAATCCTGTCAGTAGTCAGTAAGAGCCCGGCGGATCCACTGGCTCTTCAGACAGCCCCAGAAGCGCCTCCTCTGCCCTGGGCTCCCCCTCTCACCTGCAGGGTTCAGCCACAGAAAGGTTAGTTCTGAGGATACTTCCTAGGCAGGCATGGTAGCACACACCTGTCATCCAGAACTTGGGAGGCTAAGACAGTTGAGTCTTGAATTCAAGACCAGCCATGAATTCCAGGCTAGCCTGAGCTACATAATAAGGCCTACGCAGACACTAATACCAAGTGCTATCTCGCCTCTCTGTCCCACATGGCAAGTAGACTTTGTACACGCTTCTATTCCACAATAGTCTGCCTCACCGTGGCCTAGAACTTTGACCATTCACATGAGGCAGTTGTCATTCCGTGTCTATTTGGTTTTGTTTTACAGGGTGATCTCTAAGGTATCTGTCTTCCTGCAAAGGACAAGATTTCCTTCTTATTTATGGCTTAAATAATGCTCTATTGTATACCTCCAAAATATGAGTGCCCAGGTACACAATGAAACCTGAGAGACATGCAGGCAATCCTGCAGCACCGTGTGGATGGGAAGTGGTCAAGAGCTGGAAGCTGAGGCCTGGGAGTCAAACCACCTGTTACTCAGCAACAGAGTCCTAACCCTGCACTCAATGCTTTCCTTGAAGAGCGTTCAGCATGTTGACCCCAGGAATAGTGTGTGTGAGCTGGATAAGAGTGAGCTTCGAGCTGACATGAAGGTGAGGTTAACTAATCCATTATCAACATCTAAACACAAAGAACAATCTAGAAGCAGGTGATGAATGTGAGCATTTCTGCAAAAAGGACCAGTGTATGACAATATTTCACTAAGAAAACACTGAATTTTAATTAAATACAGGCAATGTCTATCTAATCCTTGTATATTTGGGAATTTTATTTTGTTTGTTTTGGTGGTGGTGGTATACTTTAATCTCAGTACCCTGAAGGCACAGAATGGTAGATCTATGCAAGTTCAAGGACAGCCTAGTCTACATAATGAGTTCCAGGATAGCTAAGGCTACACCCAGAATTCAGAAAGTCTTTCTCCCCATAGTGATAACAGCCTATTTGGGAGACAGGGCTAGGAGATTAATATACCTCAATATTTCCTGTCCTTTTTCTGGTTCCTCCAAGTCATTATTTACATTTTTCCTCTAGGAGATCTAATTTTTTAAGGCATTAATTATATATGAATGTGGTTTGAGCACTGGGGTGCAGCACCCATGGAAGTCAGAGAGGGTGTCAGATCCCCTGGAGCTATAGGTGGTTGTGAACCATCTGATATGGGTGATAAGAACAAAACACAGGTCCTCTAGAAGAGCAACGCACTCTTAACCATTAAGTCATCTCTCCAGCCCGAAAAAACCTATTTTGTGCAGAATGAAGAATGTATGCATAGTAACCTCATTCTTCAAATGTCCTTCATTGTAGGTGACATTTTTACTTTCTGATACAGGCCCTCCTTGCAGTCTCTAATCAAATATTCATTTTAATATTAGATGTGCTAAACTACATAGCATTAGACAGAAACTAAATGTCTTGCAACATCTGTTTTTCCAAGGCACATTGGGAAAAACTTTATCTGAAGCTTGCTGTACGTTCTGTAGCTCTCAAGAGCTGTTACTGAAGCCACAGTAAACCCTCTGCCTGAAGCTGACAGTGCACACTGCCCTCAGCAGACTGCACGGTTAACACTGGGCCAAATGGAATGCCTCCTCTGCCTTGGCACGGTCACATGTAACTCATCTCTGTGCAGATGACTGCCACACATTTTCACCTAGACACTCAGCCTAGTACAGTAGACTGAAAGCCTCCTCGGAGAGGGAAGAAGACTATTGAAGAGCAGATTAAAGTCAGAGAAGTAGACTCTCTAGAACCTCAGCTACCCTGATGAAAAGGTACTACATGGTCTGGGGGGAGGGGCAGGGTAGGAACAAAATATATTACTAGCCCTCTGTTTTTCCCTCCTGCATTTGAGTCTCAAGCTGGCCTTGTCCCCCTCTCATCAGTCAGGCCTGACATGGTCCTGGTAAGGTGCTCAGGGTGCCCCAGCTTCCACCACCAGAGAATATACCCATACAAACCCAAATTCCTGAGTCCTGAACTAACCAGTCACCCTGCGTGAGCCCGCTCAAGAATAAGTGACTTTTGATTTGGAAAGCTGCGTGTTTTAGTTGACTGCACGGGGCACAGGCAATGCAGACAGCACTGGCACTGCACTCAGTCTCCGGGGAGAGAGTCACCCGCCCCAGTGCTTCCTCAGGTGCTCTTTCAGCTGCGGGATGGAAGGCAACAGCTGCTGACACTTGTGGCAATGAAGAGGCAGCTTCAAGAGTTCAGAAGTCCCGTCTTGAACAGTCACTCTGCCAGCTTCCTGAACCATCTTGATCACAGCTGCAAGCAAGAAGTAAAGTTCAGAACCCAGCTATTCCGGACAGCCAATAAGATGCCAAGAAAAAGGCCAACAACATAACTCTATCCACATATCTGCTATCCTAAGGCTCATGAACTTGAAGTTAGACTTCACACTGGGGAAATGCACTCCACCAGACTAAGTCTCAGCAACCTACCTTTGAGACGATGCACTCCTTCAGGACACACTCCATGTACCGCAACATGGGCTTGTCACCACGCGTTTCCCCAGGTGGCTCTTTGTTAAATAGTAGCTTGCCCCATTTACACCACAGTAGTACTGGTTACATAGAAAATAATCTGGGAAATGCTAGCATCCCAAATATGCACAGTATCCATGAAGCACTGCTAACAGAAGACAGCAGCAACGTAGCAATCTTATTACAGTGAAACATCCTTGTTCAAGCCAGGCGGTGGTGGCTCACGCCTTTAATCCCAGCACTCGGGAGGCAGAGGCAGGCAGATCTCTGTGAGTTCGAGACCAGCCTGGTCTACAAGAGCTAGTTCCAGGACAGCCTCCAAAGCCACAGAGAAACCCTGCTTCAAAAAACCAAAAAAAAAAAAAAAAAACCCTTGTCCATTCTAGGAGTGCCAGTTTTACAGAGATCACTAAATGTATGTGGGTCATTTGAGGCTAGATAAAACATCTAAGAAAATGAAATAAATATTTTTAAAAGAATATTATTTACCTTGTGATTCCAGAAAGTATTCTGTATTGAAAGAATTCCAATGTTTTTTGTTTTTAAGGCAAGGAGAATCAAAATCCTGGCTGATCACATGAAGGTGTACATGGCTAGTTGAAAGTTGAAAAACTGAGTATTAGAAACTATGGTTTAATCAAAACAACACCAGTTAAAGTAAGTACAGATACATAAAGTTATGACACTGTGTTCTTTCAAAGCAATATACCCATTCAATTAGCTGAAAATAGTAAGTGCTTGGGAGACAACATAGGAAGTAAAGTGCTTGCCATGTGTGCTAGACAGTTTTACGTCAGCTTGACACAAGTTAACGTCATCTGAGAGGATGAAACTTCAATTAAGAAAATGCCTCCAGCCAGGTGGTGGTGGCGGCGCATGTCTTTAATCCCAGCAGTGAGGAGGCAAAGGCAGGCAGAATCTATGTGAGTTTGAGGCCAGCCTGGTCTACAGAGTGAGTTCCAGGATACCAGGGCTACATGGAGAAAATCTGTCTTGAAAAACAAAAGCAAAAACAAAAAAGGAAAAAAAATGACTCCTTAAGATTAGGCTTATGAAAGCCTGTGGGACATTTTCTAAATTGGTGACTGATGGAAGAGGGCCCAGGACATTGGGTGGGGGCCACCCCTGGGCTGGTTGTCCTGAGTCCTACAGAAAGCAAGTTGCCATGAGGAGCAAGGCAGTAAGCACCACCCTCGGTGGCCTCTGCACCAGCTCCTGTACTGAGTTCCCGCCCTGACTTCCTTTGGTGAAGAGCAGCAACACGGAAGTGCAAGCCACAGAAACCCTTTCCTTGGTCATGGCGCTTCATCCCAGCAATCGGAACCCTAATCGAGACACCATGCAAGCACAAGACCTAAATGCTCTCTTCAGCCCTGAGGTGGAAAGGCCAGGCACGGCAACGCACACTCTCCTAGCACTGAGGAGACACAGCTTGCTGGCCAGCCAGTCTAGCAAATCAGTAAGCTCCAGTTCAGTGAGTACCCATGTCTCACATAATAAGGTGAAGCTAGGTATGGTGCTACATGCCTTTAATCTCAGTACTCTGGAGGAAAAGTCAGCAGGGTCTCTGTAAGCTCCAGGGAAGTCTGGTTTACATAGCAAATTCCAGGCCAGCCAGAGCTACACAGTGAGACCCTGTCTCAAACAAACAAATAAACAAATAAATAAATAAATGAGGGGAAAAGCGATTGGCTTAACACACACATACACACATACACACACACACACACACACACACACACACACACACACACACAAGAACATTTAGTGCTTAGTAAGTACTTAATCAAACCTAGAACTGGAAATTTAGTAGTGAATAATAGACAAAGACTCTGAAGGCAGACGAATAAGCAAGAAAAATCCAAATCACTAAAGAAGGTGCCAGGCATGTTTGCACATGCCTTAAATTCCAACACTTGGGAAGTTGAGGATTCTAAATTCAAGGCCAGCCTGAGCTACACAATGAAACCTGTCTAGAAAGGAAGGAAGGAAGGAAGGAAGGAAGGAAGGAAGGAAGGAAGGAAGGAAGGAAGGAAGGAGGGAGGGAGGGAGGGAGGGAGGGAGGGAGGGAGGGAGGGAGGGAAGGAAGGAAGGAAGGAAGGAAGGAAGGAAGGAAGGAAGGAAGGAAGGAAGGAAAGAAGGAAGGAAGGAAGGAAGGGAAAAGAACTAGTTGGGAAAAGAAAGGGGATCAGTGAAGGAGGCCAGAACAACAGTATACACATATATGAAAACGCCATAACGAAACTACTCTATATAATTACCATACACTAATAAAAGACGACATTAAGAGGAGGAAGGAAGAAAGGGGAAGGAGAAGTGGGCCAGTGACTGGGGCTGGAGCTAGTTAATTGTGTCACTCTCACATTTTCCTATTACATTTATTTAAAAATTCCACCAGGCTGGAGATGTCGCCCAGTGACACAGTGCTTATCTAGCCTTCGTGACGTACTGGGTTGATGCCCAGCATTGCATAAAGCAGGCATAGTGGCCCATGCCTATAATTCCAACATGTGGAAGATAGAGACAGGAGGATCAGGAACACATGGTCAACCTTAGCTACCCAGAGCCCTATCTCCAAATAAGTAAATAAAGATAAAAACAGAGGAACAAAAGCATGCTTAAGGACAATGAACTATGCTAAGGGGCTGCAGAGACGGCTCAGCAGCTAAGAGCAGCAGCTGCTCCTCCAGAGGGCCCAGGTGCAATGCCCAGCACTGATGTAGCAATTAACAACATCTGTAACTCCAGTTCCTAGGGATCCCATGATCTCTGCTGGCCTCCATGGGCACTAGGCACACACATTAAATGGATATACATGTAGGCAAAACAGCCATACACATAAAATAAAAATAAATCTCAAAAAAACTTTTTTCAATGGCTAGCCGGTAACGGTAGTAAACACCTGTAGCCCTAGCCTCAGGAAGTTACTGTGAGAAAAGTTCAAGATTGCCGGGCAGTGGTGGTGCACGCCTTTATCCCAATGCTCACAAGGCAGAAGTAGGTGGATCTCTGAGTCCAAGGCCAGCCTGGTCTACAGTGTGAGTTCCAGGACAGCCAGGGCTACACAAAAACCCGGTCTTTAAAAAAAAAAAAAAAAAAAAAAACTGTCTCAAACTAGTAAACAAAATAAAAAAGATTTTCAAATATAAATTTTATGTTATCTATTTCAGTATAGTTTTTTAAAAGTTGTGACTGAAGGTAAACACCAGAGTTACAATCCATGCATTATCTTATTGCTTGAATCAAATAAACTGAATGAACTAGTTCTCCATGCATACTGTGGGGGAAAACAATCATTCTATGCCAAATCCTTCTGCAAATAAGCCATGAAGAGCAAACTCCACACTTTATCCTCATTTTATTTGAAGTTGTGCACACCCTAGGCTTCTATGTATATGATGCTTTGTTTCCTTTGCAGCAATGGTCCTTAGTCATTTAGGGTTAAGAGAGAGCTCCAAGAATTCTAACAAGCCCCTGACAAGTCTTCATCTACTTCATCTAGTTTGCACGTTAAAAAGCTTACATTTTGAGCTGGGCAGTGGTGGCACATGCCTTTAATCCCAGCACTCGGGAGGCAGAGGGAGATGGAGCTCTGTGAGTTTCAAGCCAGACTGATCTACAGAGTGAGTTCCAGGACAGCCTCCAAAGCTACGGAGAAACCCTGTCTCAAAAAAGCAAACAACAAAAAGCTTACATTTTAAGAGAAATAAAAAACTTCAAGGGACTGAATTACAGGCAGAAACAGGAACTTGGGCTCATAGGCAAGTAAGGCAGGCACAAGATTCGGTCTGCCTGCTAAGAAGCATCCCACCTTCCCTGGGCCTGGAAACTACCCGACTCTCAAGTTCATGCTGATCACATGGACCAAAATGGAGGGCACCATCTTACCCCAAGGCTTACCTCATGCTGGGAATGGCATGGTAACCCAACCGGAAACTCAGTTTGCTGGATCCAGCGAAATCTGCAATCACCTTTTCCCCTACAGTGTGCATATGTTTGAGAAGTTCAAGGTGTTCACTGGTCACAGCCTTCAGGCTGGGAATGGAGGCCCATGGTAAGACCAGCCAATGGTGACGGGCCTTAGGATATTTATCCTTAATCACTACCACCAGATCATCTTTGTAAACCTAGCAGGGAGCACACAGGAAGGAAAGAGATGTCAGCTGAGGATCTTTGTGCGTGTGCTGTCATACTCATTCCGTCACTTAAACACAAAATCTTGTGCAAAAAGTGTTAAGAGTTTAGAGCACACACTGAGAGTGTCTTACGTCACATTATACAGTAAGGAATCAGAGTTCTCTGTGTCTCTACATGTGACAGAGAAGATATACAGTACTAAAGAGTTCTCAAGGACTCAGGGTAAATCTCCACAGGTAGAGATCAACTGCAGCCTCTTGAACATGTGTGTGGATTTCAAGGAGTCCTACCCGATCTCAGAGGCTCCTCCAAGGATGGTGGCTGACTTCTGACACAAAGACAGCTGTTACTACAGTTACCACACATTATCTGATGATCCCCTCAAAGGAACCATGCTCAGGTTAGCACATCTCTTTTTTTACTAATTTGGGAAAATCACAGGACAAGTTAAGGAGCTTGCTCTCTCCTTCTAGATTCCAAGATCTAGATTCCAAGGATCGAACTCAAGTAATAAGCCTTGGCAGCAAGCACCCTTACCCACTAAGCCATCCTGCTACTCCAGTTTCTCTTAATAGCAAACAAAATATGTTCATCTGAAGAAGGGGGCTTCTGGTGGGGGATGTCCTTCTGTATATATATTTCTCTTACTGATTGATGAATAAAACACTGTTTGGCTAATAGATGCAGGAAGATAGGTGGGAGTAGGAAATGAGAAGAATTCTGGGAAAGGTAGGAAGAGAGAGGCTGGAAAGAGAAGACACTCCAGGCCTTCTCTCTGGTAAGATAAGGCCATGTAGAAATACAAAGATTAATAGAAACGGGTTAATAATTAAGACAGAGCTAGTCAATAAGAAGCCCTAGCCATCGACCAACAGTTTTATAATTAATACAGGGTGGCAGAACCTGGCAGGAAAGAAACTCCAGCAACAAGCTTCTCTCCAAAGACCTCTAGTTACTACTTTTAAATTTTTTATAAAACCACTTTATTGTAACAAACTCACAAATAAAAGGCACCACACTGCTAGATTAAGGTAGCCAGTCAAACAAACACTTGCCCATAACTAAATGCTATATATCTCATGAACTTTTATATAGTTAGAATGGCCATTCTGAAGCTGTGGAGGTTCACTTGGGGTTTAACACTTCATTATCAATTGCACTTTTATGTACTTTTCTGCCACAAAAAAAGTAAAGAAAAACTATGATAGAGTTCAAACTAGAGAAACAGTTAGTTTATCTGTTCTTTCATGATTCATGTGTCATCAACAGATGAACAGGTAAAGAAAGTGTGCTATCCATACAAAATGGAGTATTATTTAGGAAACCAGAGGCTGGGAATGGAGGCGACCAGCACTCAGGAGGCAGAGGCAGACAAATACGAGTTTTAGGTGACTCTTTAAGAGTGCTGGCTGCTCTTCCAGGGCATCCAGGTTTGGTTCCCAGCACCAACACGGAGTTCCCAAGCACCTGTAACTCCAGTCCCAGGGGATCCACCTCCTCCTGGCCTCCCCAGGCACCAAGCACTTGCACAGTGCACAGACATACATGCAGGCAGAACACCCTTCACATTAAAAAAATCACTAAAGCTTTTTTGAAAAGAAAAAGCAATCACAAAATCTACAGGAAAATGGATGGACTTAGAAATTATATTAAGCAAGGTAACCCAAAATCACAAAGAAAAAACCCACATTCTCCTTCATGTGTGTCTCCTAACCTATAATGTACGCATGTATATGTGGGAACAGTTGTAAGTGTGATATGATATGAAGGACAGAATACAGACAAAAGGAAGAGCCTAGTGACTACTTAGTACCCATGTGGAAGCTACTTGTTCTCACAGAAAAGCCCAGTAAATCAGAATCCCACTAGGAAGAAATGACATCCTTTGGCTTCGTTTACAATTACCAATTATTTATAAATTATAAAATTTTATTCTGACCTGCATTTTGGGGTCTTTCATAGAAGTCTTCAAGCCTTGACTCCAGTGGCCCAGTGATTCCTAAATAAGAAATACAACATAAATATATATGCCATTAATTAAGTGTGGCTAATACTGCATGACAGCCAAGTCCAAATAAAGCATGAAAGTAATGTTAGTTTTTGAGAATTACTTCCTTTACTTCGGTCTATTGCCCTTAGGACCACAAGCCTCTCTATTGTCCTCCTTTATTTAAGGACGGAGGCCTATTGTGGAACTCTATCCTCTGTGCAAGGATTGTGGTCCCAACAAGAGCATCTGCAATTACCTGGACAAGACTGGGCCAAAACACATTCCCTTGCTGGGGGACAGAGAGGACTCATGAGAGGGCTCAAGTGGCTCCTCCTCTCCCAAAGGATACACAAGCAGCTAACAACTGTTGGAGAGGGAGACAATTAAACTCACTACTTCACCAAGTTAGGCGTGTGTGGAATGAATGGCTGGTCTGTCATTAGTGCCATATCTAGGGTGAACAGACGTCTGCTCACATCTTCCCAGGATAAGTTTCGCAAAGCCAAAACCACCAGAGTACGAATCAACCTTCTCTGCCCTTTCACACTCCAGCTGCAGCCTAGCAAGTTTCTATTTTGACATTAACATGTGAATTACATATCTATGAGTACTACAGTGTTAACCAGTAGGTAGACAATCAAATAACCCATTTTAGTGTTCGACGCTAATTATACTACATGGGGAGAAGAGGAAACCCCTAGTGACTGTGTAAAAAGTAGATCAAGTCCTGAATGAATGTGTGTTGTTGACATGCCAGCCATGTCAAGGACCTTAGTGCCTAGACCCACGGAAATGGCAAAGCCTTCCCAGGGTGATGACCAGGATGGAAAAGCCTCTGATCCTAGTACCAGTGTTTACAAATGGCTGGCCAGGGTATGCAGAAACTATCAACCACAGCTTCCTCCTTGCAGATGTTTACAGCCTGAGACACCTGCCTCCTTGTTCAGCTATCTACAATAAGCCCACCTCCTCGATCCAGATAGATGAAAGAATCAGACTGTTTCTGGGCTGCTGTTGATGGTCCATCTCCACTAGAGAGCACAGATCACCTAGTCCCCGCTTTTCTGTCTGTGTGTCTGTGTGTCTGTCCTTTCTTCATCCCCTTGTTGCCCCAGTTAGGTCAATCCCTAAGCCTACTGACTGTCCTGTCTTCCTTCAAGTAGTTTACACCAGAAATTTAATAGAAAAGCATATAAAGGGACATTCACCAAGTGATTTTCAGGCCACAAGCAAGTGACTCTTTCATCATGTTTGACAACCCTCATTATGATTAATACCACCTCACCTGTGTCTGAGCTTTATAGTGTACACAACAATTAAGCAGTCATTATATCTCATTTCATCTCCACATCATCTGTCAATCACACTGTCCTCACCTCTTTGGTGACTCCATCCTTGCCCTTCTTGGAAGGCACAGCGCACTGGCTGGGGCTGCTCCCAGGGGCTGTCCCTGTCCCAGACTCGGCTGCCTGAGCAGTATCCATATCCTCTCCATCGTAGTCTGACCGCTTTCTCTTCCTTTGAGTTTCTAGGTCAGGACTCTTTGCTACTTCTTCAAACTCTACAATGTATGGATACAGTTCATTCACCATGTAGAGAACCTGGCCAGGCTGCAGCTTCATCTCTTGGTCTTTCCCAATGATGACTGAGTCAATGCTGGTGGGATTGACCCCCACCTGTGGGTACACAACCATAATGTAAGTACAGTAGTGATAATGCCATCAGTAACAGAGCGGCTGCTGTGCTAGCCACGCCCTGTGCAGTCACCCGCCTGTAGTTCACGCCATCCCTTCACCCACGACACAGCAGCCTTCTTTAGCAAGTAATAAATGGAAATCCCAGTCAGAAACACACATACCTGCTTTACTTTGACATAGCCTTTGTTGCACTCTGCTTTCAACTGTACTGAAAGACATAAGGAAACATGAAAGTCAGATGCAACCAGAACCAGGTACTGTTTCCCTACAGGACAACCAAGCCTGACTGCCACAGACCGCCCACAGATGAGCCTGATCTGTATGCGCCTGGCCTACAAATCCCACCAACTTCCAACAGCTTCAGACCATAAATATCCATCAGTGAGCTGGGCATGGTGGCACATGCCTGCAACCCCAGACTTGAAAAGTAGAGTCAAGATCAGGAGTTCAAGGCCAGCCTTAGCTGCAGAGCCAGAGTGTGAAGTCAGTCTTGAATATGTAAGAACAACTTAAGCCCCACTTCTCACCCCAAAAACAATCTATATTGGTACATGTACTCCCTTAGCTACTGCTGAAAACCTGAAAAGAGGGACACTGGAGAGATGGCTCACTGGCTAAGAGTACTTATTACTGTCCTTTTCCAAAGGACCTGAGTTTGGTTCCCAGCACCCACACTGGACAGCTCATTAGCACCTTTGACCCCAGTTCCAGGGGACTCTGATGCCTCTGGCCTCCACAGGGAACTATATTTAAATACACCCACACAGAGACACACATATAATTTTAAAAATAATAAAAATAAATCTTAAAAGCAAACAAATGCTCAGTATCTTTCCCTTTTTGAAACTGTATGTGATGGTGCACGCCTTTAATTCCCAGCACTTAAGAGGCAGAGGCAGATGAATCTCTAAGTTTGAGGTCAGCCTGGTCCATATAGTGAGTTCCAGGACAGTCAAGGTTACATAGTGAGGCCCTGTCTCAAACAAACAAAAATAAAAAGTTTTGAGGAAGCTTTCATGAATCCCTGCAGCCTCCTGTGACAGAACCCCCAGCCAGCTCAGGAGCACAGACTTTGCCAGCAGGAGGAAAGCTCCTAGCTCATGGTTAGATAAGATTTCTACTAACAGAAGAAAAAAAAAATCTATCAAGGGTTAGAGCTGAAGCTAAGTGGCAGCGGGCCTCAGGACAGGGAATATTACTATCAAGTGACTTCAACAGAGAAAGAGGAGAAGATATGGTCTTAGAAAAAGTCCAAAAAAAAAAAAAAGCCGGGCAGTGGTGGCTTACGCCTTTAATCCCAGCACTCGGGAGGCAGAGACAGGCGGATCGCTGTGAGTTCGAGGCCGGGCTGGACCGACAGCCTCCAAAACAATACAGAGAAACCCTGTCTCATAAAACCAAAAAAAAAAAAAAAAAAGAAAAGAAAGAAAGAAAAGAAAAGAAAAAGTCCAAGCTGGTCTGAAGGAATGGAAAGAATGTTCTAGAAAAACACTGCAGGACTGGATGGTGTATGTGTGACAAGGAAGGGTAACTTCAAACACCCATATTCAGATAAGTAAAACAGCATGTGGGGTTGAGACGGGAACCAAGAAGAGGCAGCACAGCTTCTCAGCAGGGAGGACAGGCAGAGAGTTGCAAACCCCCACATCCTGCACTTGCTGCTGTGAGGAGCGGACAGAGGCGGCAGCAGCTCAACACTCCAGCACACTTGAACTAACTCAATGCTACAGGTCCCAGCTCTTAATCCAGAACCTCGGGGTTATGGGGCCACACCGCAAGCAGGCAGGAGTGAGCATGCCCACAGTTTGCAGGAAAATGCGCGCGCGTGTGTGTGTGTGTGTGTGTGTGTGTGTGTGTACTCAGCTTTTCCCTTAAAATGTGTGGCAGACAAGCTAGATGCCACAGTCTTACAAAGATCTACTCTCTATGTTAGGCAATACATAAGGTTGGTACCAACCCCATTGCATCTCAGAGATTGGAGATTCCAGAATTTGTCTTGCTGCTCAATGCATAAACCCTGGGCAAAGCAGGGTCCAAGACTCAATCCTGCCACTCCAAGGTAACTGGATGATAGCCACCTGTTCCCATCCCTCACCTGAACCTGCATTAAGTCTTACTAAATGGTGAAGGCAGAATCCAGGATGAACCAGCCCTGGTGTTAGCTAGAAGAACACAATTTATGAGCCTTATTTTGGGAATGTAATAGGTTTTCCAGCAAGAACACCAGGAAATGTGCATCACTGGTTATCATTACCCGCCCCATAACCATAATACAGTCATCCCCATATTCCTATGACCAGCTAGTTACCTTGTTGTCGGGAACATTTCTTATCTGTGATCTTGGTCACTGGGCTTCGACCAATCACAACTGCTTCCAAATGGGGAAGTTTGATTCGCTGGTGCCTGCAGTCCTGTCTCACCAACCAGCACACCCGCTTCATCGCTCTAAAATCAAAAGAGGATCACTGGAGAACAAGTCATCCGGGCCACACCCAGCCTCACCACACCACACACATGACTGAGGGTGTTCACAGAGGCAGGTGATGTCACCTTCCTAGTCTCAACTTCCTCACCTATAAAGCTGTGATAATGGCAGGACTCAGGAGGCTGCTGAGGATTAATGAGATAATGCAGGTAAGTATTTACCTCTGCCAAGCACGCTAAGCATTCAAATATTTGCTACACATTTGTTCATCTCCTGTACTGGGCTTTAGGCTACATGCAGAGGGTCCCTCAGAAGTGAGAAAAGACTATTCCTGTAGCTTGAGGAGCTTGAGGTAGGGTACATGAGCAGACAATCCATACCCTCGTTACTGTAATATGATCCAAGCACTACAAGAGAGTAAGCAAACGTGACATCAGCCCAGTGATAGATAGGACTGACCCTTGAGAATAGTAAAAAGGTTTCACGAAGAAGGGATATGTATGTATACAGGGTTTGGGGTTAAGAAGGAGTGTGCCTGTCAGAGAACCAAGAATTAAACAATGAAGACGCAGACAAAGAGAGAATGTTGAACATTAAGAGCACTCACAGCTCTTCCAGAGGACTCATGTTTGATTCCCAGCACCCACATAGTGCTTCACAACCACCTGTTAACTCCAAATCTAGGGGATCTAGTGCCCTCTTCTGACCTCCATGGGAACTACATACACATGGTGCACTTACATATATAAACACACACACACACACACACACACACATCTCAAAGAAAAAACGTTCTTCAGATCTCTGGCATCTGTATATGTATTCTCTCTCTCTCTCTCTCTCTCTCTCTCTCTCTCCCTCTCTCTCCCTCTCCCTCTGTCTCCCTCTCTCTCTCTCTCCTTTTTGTTTGGAGGGGAGGGACACTGAAGTCAGGGTTTTGCACACGCCAGACAAGTATTGTCCACTGAACCTCACACCTAGCCCTTATTTTATTTGAGAGAGAGCGTGTCTGTGTATGTATGTGCTTGTCAGTATGTGAACCACATGCATGCAATACCTGCAGAAGCCAGAGAATGACATGGAAATCCCTGAACTAGGGCTACAAGCCATTGTGAGCCACTGCATAGGTATAAATGCACTAACTGCTAAGCCGTCTCTCTAGCACGTTTTTTTCCGTTTTCATTTTCCGTGTCTCTCTTCAGCACTGGCTAGCCAGGAACTTACTGTGTGGATGATCTGCTGGCCTCTGTCTCCTACATATCAACTTTCAAGCTAGCCAAGACTGCACAGTGAGCTCCTGCTCAAAAACAGGAGGGGGAGGGAGACAAACCCAGAAGATGCCCTTATCTTCTGGTGCTATTTGGAAAATATCAAAGGAGTGAAGAGATTTCTAAAAGATTTCTAGTCAAGCCAGACATGGCACATGACTTTAACCAGCACTAAAGAGGCAAAGAAAGGCGGACCTCTGTGAGGTCTAGGCCAATCTTTTATACATAACAAGTTCCAGAACAGCTACATGAGACTCTGTCTCAAAAGTGGGGGTAAGGGTCCTAATTTGGAAGATGCCACTAGATGAAAGGAATTTATAGAAAGACACTATTTAGAAATGGAGGTGAAGAAACTGGGAAGACAGCTCAAAGATTAACAGCACATGCTGCTCTTGGACAGACACCAAGTTTGAGTCTTTGCTCCCAAGTCAGGCAGCCAACAACTGCCTGTAATCCTGGCTCCAGGGGATCTGACACATGTGGCCTCTGTGGGCACCTGGACTCACCGTGACATACCCACCCCCTCCCCTGACACGCACAATTAAAAACAAAAATAGTTTTTTTATATTGAAAAAAAAGATGAAGGAGCAACTCCATGTTGGTTCCCTTGGCTATTGTTTGTTGAGGGGTAGTGAGTTTTGTTTTTGTTTTTCGTATGTTGCTTGTTGGGGTAGGGGTGCTGTCTTTTGTGAGAGAGAGGTGGAGTGTATACTGGGAACCAAACCCAAGGCCCTTCCTGAACAGACAGTCCACCACTGAGCTCCCTGAATTCCACATCGGGACAGTTAGCTGACATGGCTTGTGGGAGCCCCACAGTTAAGCTGAGGTACACCAACAGGAGGCTCGGGAGAAGGGACTGACTGAATGTACTTGACGGGTATCAGCGTGTCACAGAAATTGAAACAAAAAGGATGAGGTGAGCCAGGAAGGCAGAATAGAGAGTCAGGGCAAGGTCAAGACTAGGTCTTCAGGATGTGTCTCTAGCCTCTAGAGCAGTGGTTCTCAACCGAATGCTGCGACCTTTAATACAGTTCCTCGTGATGGGTGACCCCAAGCACACAATTACTTTTGTTGCCCCTCCATAACTGTAAGTTTGCTGTTATGAATTGCAATGTAAATATCTGGTATGCAAGATATCCGATATGTAAGCCCTGTGCAAGCTTCCTTCAAACCCCGAAGGGGTCGTGCTTCACAGGTTGAGAACCTCAAACCCCGAAGGGGTCGTGCTCCACAGGTTGAGAACCTCAAACCCCGAAGGGGTCGTGCTCCACAGGTTGAGAACCTCAAACCCTGAAGGGGTCGTGCTCCACAGGTTGAGAACCTCAAACCCTGAAGGGGTCGTGCTCCACAGGTTGAGAACTGCTGCTCTACAACCATCACCGCCCAAGCTTCTAACACCTGGGGGAAATCTTGCCTCTTCCCCAAACAGCACGAATGTCCTTTGCCCACGTGCTATATTCTGAAACAAAGAATAAAAACCATATTCTTTTTTTTTTTTTTTTTGGTTTTTTGAAGCAGGGTTTCTCTGTGGCTTTGGAGGCTGTCCTGGAACTAGCTCTTGTAGACCAGGCTGGCCTCGAACTCACAGAGATCCACCTGCCTATGCCTCCCGAGTGCTGGGATTAAAGGTGTGCACCACCAACGCCCATCTTAAAAACCATATTCTTGAAAATGAGACTATTACCATCTGCAAAGACAAGACAGGCAAGGCACAATGGGCTAGAGGAACACAATACCAGAAGGGATTCGTGTGAGCACATGCAGGCCAATGAGGTTCAAAGTCCTCAGTCAGTCAGGAAAGGTTTCCAAAGCCACCCAGTTAGAGAAGGCCAGGAGCCAGGTACTGAGTCGTCAGGAAGGACTCGGAGAGGCCTCTCACTTTAAAGAGCACAAGGGACAGCACAGATCTCCACAGGGGAAAAGGCAGTTTCAAGAGTCACCCAAAAAGGGGGCAAAAATTACTGAGAGAACACCAGCTGGGCTCCAAGATAGTTGGCAGCAGACAATGGCCAAGCCTCACACTTCAGAGTAAGAAGAAACAAAAGAAGCCCAAGAACACCTGGCCAGCAGCCATGTGTGGGCCAGAAAGACAACTCAACAGGTCTCTGAGAGGAGTGGGCATGAGCAGAAAGCCAGCTCTCACCTCAGCTCCTGATGCTGTGAAGGTACTACAGGCAGGGCCCACTTACAATGCTATGTTCCATCTGTCTGTACCTGCGACAAACCGACGGATGGGCAGGTAATGGACAGAGAAGAGAAGCATGTCCTCACTGGGCGCTCAGAAACAAATCATATGATTGACTACTTCCTCTGACAAAGCACCCACAAAACAGTACAGCTTCTGAGTAGGAACAGGGAGGATCCAATAGACAGCTAGGAACATGACAAGAAATGGAAATAGCCCTCCCGTCTACCACAGACATACACTTTTATTCCCTGCAGTTCTTAAGTGGTGATGTTCCAATGCACTACTTCCCGGGAGGCTGATGCAGTGGTGTACAATGCTCCCACAACAAATCTTAAACAGTGGGTTGGCCCATTTGGGCCTCCAAAACCAACTCACAGGAATTAACGACTTTAGAACACAGGGAACACAGAAGGATAGGTGATCCTGAATCTCAGCCAGACCCTCCAATAAAATTCCATAAACTCCAAGTGTCATGCCTACTTTAGCACTGTATTCCCGGCATTTATTACTTGGCATACAACAAGCCTACAATAAATCAGTAAGCTTGCAATAAACGTTTGCAGATAACTGATCAGATGACAAGCCTCCCAAAGTTTTCAAGGTTTCCTACCTTTACTTCCCAGAGCTCCTCTTGGGTTCCTTAAGATAGGGCATCACTATGTAGCTCTGGCTGGCCTAGAACTTGCTATATAGGCTAGAATGGTTTTAAACTCAATGAGATCCGCCTGTCTCTGCCTCCTGAGTGCTAAGATTAAAGGTGTGCGCCACCACACCCAGTGGGTTCCTCTTCTTAAAGTAAAATGCCCCAAAAGAGGAGAAGCTCATTCTACCATTCTCTCCCACATCTGCAATGATCTATTTGCTAAGAATATCACTACAGTATTATATAGTGGTATAGAAAGGTCCCTGATTAATTCTGATCCTTAGGGAATCCAAATGACCTGAAGATGACATGAGGCCAGAAATCCATCTGGAAGCACTGCTAGCACAAGAATTTTCTGGAACATACCTTCACCATAAATACGTTAGCCACAGCTGATAACTGAGATTCTGAGATGCCACTAACACAACCAGGGAACTGGATTTTGTTGTTGTTGTTTTAGTTTTTTGTTTTTCAGGACAGCGTTTCTCTGTGTAACAGCCCTAGCTGTACTGGAACTCGCTCTGTAGACCAGGCTGGCCTTAAACTCAGAGATTCACCTGCCTCTGCCTCCCAAGTGCTGGGATCAAAGGCGTGCACCACCAGCACCCAGCTGCATTTTTTTACTTTAGACTTTGTTCCCAAGTCACATAGCCACAAGTGGTTGTGGACCACTAATTGAATTTAAGACTTGAATTTAAGACTCTCAGCTTCTAATTCCTCAAAGGTTACTTATTTCACAAAACTGATCCCACTGACTATTCCTGTCCCACCCCAGGCCCCAGACACACAGGCAGGCATCCTTACCCAAACACACATCCTTCAGGAATAACAGGTTGCAGCATGGCTCCTGAGTAAGTTATTCTAAAGAGATATTCTGGTATTGACATATCCTCCTCTCCTTCTTAAAAAACCCAAATCGTAGTCAGATTTCAGGTTCCGTCTCCTTCCTGAGGTCAATGGAGTTGTCATTTTTCTTGTACATCTTACTAAATATAATAAAATAACTTTCACAGTTCTGATAGCCTTGGAAACAGACTCCTTCCACTGCCTTCCCCTTCAAGAAAAATGGAAGAAAGGACCCTGGAGACCACTGCTGTGGGCACCTGGTCTTATATCCCAGGATCCCAGGTGTTCAGCATAACTTATTAAGAGCACACTACATAGTAGGCTCAGTACTAAATGTCTCACTTTAACTCTATGGAAAATTAAGACTTAGATAAGCAAATACCATGCCAAACAACAAAGACACTATGTGCCAGAGTCAGGATTTGAAATCTTTCCAAATAGGTTCTTAACCACTACATGATATTATGTGGGGACTCGCTCATTCATTCAATCAATCAAGATTATTTCAGGCCTGCTATCTAATTTCATGCCATTCTAGCACTGGGAATCAATAGTGAATACATATGCTCTGCCTTCTTCAAAGACCTCCAATCTGAGAGAAGACCCAGAAATAATTATAATCAGTGTGGTATGACTTGCTTGTAGAAAACTACTGTGGAAACAAACCTTTAGTACCTACCATGTGATGGAAGGTTCCCTGGAGATGGTGTCTGGTAAACTTGGTTAATTTGGCAGAAACAGGCAGTCTAACTGAGCAATAAGACCAGAAAGCTGAGTTAGGAAGGCATTTCTAGGCAAACACACACAGACACAGCACACTGTGCATGGGGAAGCTAACCCCGAAGGCAGAGAAGGGACTGGGGACCGCAACAAGGCCCAGGTAACGCAAAGCTCCCGGGGACTTGCTGGCAAGCTCAAAAACCCCCCAGTTTCAATCGATTTCGTAATTCAGTAGACAATGAATGTTGTTTGAAGGAATGCGGGGAAGAACAAACACATGAGCAGACAAATCCACAACGACCACGCAGGAAGGAACTGAACAAAGACGTCCTCACCAAGATCACCTTGGGAAGAAGTATAAAAAACAAACACGCGTTGCTTTCCCCACATGAAAACTTCTGTATAAAGATTTCTATGGCAAAGGGCTGTAATCTCAGTACTCAGGAGACACTGGCAGGAGAGCCGGAAGTTTGAGGCCAGACTAATGTACATACTGTGACCCATCTTGAAAAAGAAAATTTGCCCAGGCCCAGTGGCATATGCTTGTATCCCATCGCTGGGAAGTGGAGACAGGCGGATCAGGAATTTGAGGCCAGCTGGGCTACATGAGTCCTGGTCTCAAATTAAGGGGGGAGGAGAGGGGTCTAAGAAATCCCCAATATATGTCAAATTCTCAAAGGTCATTCCCCATCAACTCCAAACGGATGGATCTTCAAATACTCCTGCTTTGTTGAGCCACAGTCTCCACACTGGGAAGTCTGGCTGCTTCCGGCACTCCTAAGGCCTGCTGAGAACACTGCCGCAGCACCTCAAGCCTCTCTAGGAGGGCGTTCCGGGCAGAAACATTTTCCCGGCAAGCTGAACAGCCGCGTAGGCATGGACAGTGTCCACTGTTATCTATAAATTTTTTCACGCTGATTTTGCGGCCAACTAGGTACAGGAGTCAAGTGGGTCCGGGGGAGGGGCGATGGGCCAGCGGGGCGGAGACTAACACTCTTCCTGAAGCACGCCCACCGGGGAAGGGCGAAAGGGTGGAGGAAGCCTCGAACTCCACACGCACGGCCGCCGCTCCGGGTTAGCAGCCCGGGCCGAACGCCCCCGCCGGCTTCTAACCCAACCAGCAGAGGAAGCAGGCCGACCACGAGCTTACCTCGACAGCGGACGCCCCCAACCCCGCTCGCGACTCCACGGCGCCTCGCCGCTTCCGGTACTGAAAGATGACGTCATAAAACGGCTGCCTAGCAACCAGCGATGATTTCACTTTGGCTTGGAGAATTGGCAGAAACGGTCTCTCGCCCCGATACCCAGGTAGAAAAACGGTGACCCCGAGCGGTTCCTACCAGCTAGTTGTTCCCCATGAGGAGAGCTTTGCCTTCTCGGAGGCATCTGGCCGTCACTGCCTTCCAGCCTCTGCATCCGGAGAGATTGCAGGCGGCAATCTCCAGCGGCTTATACACGCAGCCGTGTCGTCTCCTGGCACTTCCTCAGGAAGCTTGCTACATTTTAAGGCCATCTTTGAAAGGGAAGGAACGAACGAGGTTGGAGGTAGTGAGACAGAACTCATTCTGTAGCCCAGGCTGGCCTTGAACTCGCGAGAATCCTCCTGCCTTAGTCTCCCCTGTGCTGGGATTGCAGGTGTGGGCCACCAAACTCAGCCTTGAGGCCATCGTTTAAGCTGCAGGCTGGACGTCCTTACCACCCACGTTCAAATTACACTTTTCTTTCTCCCTTTAAGGAGAAGACTTAAGAGACAGGGAAGCCTGCTAAGGTTTTTCTTTTTTTGTTTAATGCCTGTCTTCGCTAACTGATCTGAGGGCAATCAGAAAAGCAGGAGGTTGGGATGGCATTTGTACAGATTTTTATAATCATTCCAGGACGTTCCCTAAAAGTCTTATATTGTAAATCACTAAAGGCTTCTTGGCAGATGAAAGAATTCCTATCTCGTGAGTAAAACCAGAGTGTAGAATCTTAAACGCAATGGAAACAGCAATGGAAGCGGAACCTTAAGGAGTCCCTTTTTTCCCTCTTTGGTTTGGTTGTTTAAACAATGTCTCACTGTACCCTAGGCTGGCCTCAAACTCAAGATCCTTGCCTCTACCTCTGAAATGCTGAAGTCACTGGTCTTTACCACCCCGCTCAGCTAAGAGCGCTATTGTTTCTTAATCAAAACGGGTTACTATTGTTTCCATCTGTGGAAAAAGCAGACTCCGCTATCTGATGGAACTGACCAGACAGGGTGGGAGGATGTTCCAGGGAACAAGGGAGATGCTTTTGTCAGTGAGAAGATAGGAATGTATATTAGGATCAGAGCAGGAAGGGAGGAAGCTGCATAAGCCTCAAGGCTGAGAATGGAGCCTTAAAATACAGAGCTACCTTGGTGGCCTGACAGTTTGAGTTTTCCCTCAGGATTAAGCCTCTTAGCCAAGGCTTCTACCCAGCCTGGCCTTTCTGTGTCTTACAGCTAAAAGTTGAACTGGGTCATTTGTACAAAATTGGGCAGGGTTTTCATAGCCAGCATATTAGCTCTAACCCATTGTCTACAGTGCACTGACCAGAAAAACAAGGTTGTTAGGAACAATGCATGGCTAAGAGCATGGCAGGTACTTAAGACATTCCCTGGCTTCACATTGTTAGGGGACTAAGCGCCATAAATTGTTCAACTTCTCTATGAATCAAACAACTAATTTTCACCTCCCTAAAGCCCTACTGTTCTGCTCTTAGCTCCCATTGGGGTTGACAGTTCTGGAAATATCATGTAAGTGAAATCACAAAACATTTGTCTTTTGTAACTGATGTCAACTTGGTGTCAAGTTTCATCTACAATATAGCACATGTTAAAACTTCTTTTTTTTTTTTTCAAGACGGTTTCTCTGTATTGTTTTGGAGGCTGTCCTGGAACTCTCTCTGTAGACCAGGCTGGCCTCGAACTCACAAAGATCTGCCTGCCTCTGCCTCCCGAGTGCTAGGATTAAAGGTGTGTGCCACTAATGTCTGACTCAAAACTTCCTTTTTAAAGCTAAAGTTTTTCTTTGAATTTGAGTATTCTTTGCTTTATAATTTATGGGTGTTTCACGTTCATGTAGGTCTATGTACATATGTGTGCCTGGTGCCCGAGGAGGCTAGCAGATCTCCGGGACTGGAGTTACGGGAGGTTGTGAGCTACCGTGTGTGCTGGGAATAAAACCGGGATCTTCTGGGGGACTAACAAGTGCTCCTAACTGCTTGGTTTTGTCTTGCTTTTGACACAGGGTATCGTTATGTAGCTCTGGCTGTCCTGAAATTCTTTATCTAGACTCACAAAGTAAATTCTGTCTCCCAAGTTCCGGGATTAAAAGCATGCACACCACAACCAATTTTGCTTTCAGTTTTCCAAGTGCTGGGATTACAGACACGTTTGAATATTGATGGATATTTGGTTTGCTCCTGCCTTTTGGCTATTGTGAATAATTTTATGTTTTATGAAAATGGATGTTCAAAACATCAAGATCTGCCTTCGGTTACTTTGCAAAGTGGGCTTGTTGGGTCACATGGCACGTGTGTGTGTGTGTGTGTGTGTGTGTGTGTGTGTGTGTGTGTGTGTGTATGTGTGTGTGTGTGAGTGTGTCCAAGTGGGCATTTAGGCCAGCAGTCAGTATCAAGTGTCTTCTTCAGTCACTCTCCACCTGCCTTTTGTTTTTCAAGACAGGGTTTCTCTGCGTAGCCCTGACTGTCATGGAACTCTCATGTAGACCAGGCTGACCTTGAACTCACAGGGATCTGCCTGCCTCTGCCTCCCAAGTGCTGGCATTTAAGTGCATGACAACCGGCAGCATCCACCTTAATTTTTAAGCTAGAGTCTCTTGCTGAGCCTGCAGCTCACCAGTAAGTTAAACCAGCCCATAAGCTGTAGGGTCCTCTCTTGTCTGCCTCCCCAGCACAGGGATTATAGGCACAACCTACTACACTGACCTCTTTTACATGGGTCCTGGTGCCGCTGGGACAAGCATTTTACCAACTGAGCCATCTCCCCAGCCCTGGTCATTTCGTTTGTAATACTTTGAAAACCTCCACGATGCTTTCTGTAGCAGCTGCGTGATTTTATATTCCCATACGGTGCCCAGACACTAATTCTCTAATGCTTGCCAAAGCTTGTGATTTGTGGCTGTTTTCATTGTGGAAAGCAGCCACCCTCACCCACAGCTAGGTAATGTCTCAGTGTGGTTTGATTTACAGTTCCTTGATGATTAGCGATGTTGCTCTTTTTATGTGATTATTTTCCATTTGTGTATCTTTGAAGAAATGTTCAAAGCTTTTGGCCATCTTAAAATCAAGCTCGTAGTATTTGTGTCATACTGTAGGAACTTTTGTGTCATATTGTAGGGACTTTTGTGTCATATTGTAGGAATTTGGGGGGCTTGATGACAGAGCTCAGGATAGAGCATTTACCAAGAATAGGTGAGGCCCTAGGTTTTTGTCGTTGTTGTTGTTTTGGTTTTGGGTTTTTGAGACAGGGTTTCTCTGTGGCTTTGGGGGCTGTCCTGGAACTAGCTCTTGTACACCAGGGTGGTCTCGAACTCACAGAAATCCACCTGTCTCTGCCTCCCAAGTGCTGAAATTAAAAGTGTGTGCCACCACCGCCCAGTGTGAGGCCCTAGTTTAAGCTACAGCACCACACACACACACACACACACACACACACACACACACACACACAGTAGGACTTTTTACATACTCTAGATGTTACCCTCTGATTAAATTGGCCAGTGTTTCTTCCCATTTTTAAGGTTGCCTTTTTGGTACACTAACTATAACCTTAGATGCACAGGAACTTTTTATTTTGTGTCTAACTTACCTGCCTGTAATCTTGCTGCCTCTGCTTCTCGTGTCAAGTCTAAGAAGCCATGTGCCATGGAGCCCTGTGTTACCTTCTAAGGACTTCAGAGCTTTAGATCATAGGTTAGTCTTTGGTTTACTTTGTGTTTGTTTTTAGACTATGTAAAGCAGAAGTCCAGCTGCATCTTTTCCTCTGGTTATCTATTTTCCCAACACCATTTGCTGAGAAGACTGTTCTTTCCTCTTGGTGTGTCATCCTTGTTGAAAATGCACTTGATCGAGTATTTAAGGACTTATTTCTGGGTTTTCTGGTCTGTCTCCTTTACGTACGTGTGTCTGTATGCTTGCTCCATAATTAGTTTTGGGTTTTGGGTTTTTTTGTTGTTTTTTTGTTTTTGTTTTTTGTTGTGCTGCCAAATATATGCTAGGCTCTAGGCCTGGGGGCGGGAGATAAGGAGAGAATGAGAGCACAATACCTACAAAGATCCTTGCCAGGCCTCTTAGCCGGGACAGAATCTGGGGCAGAATCGAGGGTGCCAAAAGTGCAATGGAGTTGTTAGTGAGAAACAAATGGTGAAATCTGAGCGAGGACCAGACTTCAGAGACTTAGGAACCGTATGTGGACATCATTCAATAGACACAATAAAGCTTGGAGGGAGCTAAGGAGATGGCTGAGCAAATTAAGTGCTTGCCCTGCAAGCATGCAGATAGAGCCTGCATCTCCAGAGCACATGGAAAGAAAGCCCGAGGACTGTGGCAGCTCACCTGTAATTCCAGTGGGCAGACACAGAAACGGTCCCCAAGGCAAACTGACTAGCAGGACAAGTTATGTCAGCAAGCTCTGGGCTCATGGAAAGACCTTCCTCACTCTGTTTATAAGGCAATGAAGACACTGAGGGCAATGTAGACATGGGAACATGCATACACACATGCACACACCACACACAAAATACACCTCTGGAGAGTCAACTGGGAACATCCCAGCTTGCTTTCTGTTACTGCAATAGACAATGTGACCAAAAGCAACTTAGGAGAAAATAGTTTGTTTCAGCTTATAGCTATTGGTCCATCATGAAGGGCAGGCAGGGCAGGAACGTAAGGTTGGAATCTAGAGGTAGGAGTTGACGAAACACTATGGAGGGATGCCACTTACCAAACCCTACTGAAACAAATGTAAGTGGATGTTTTATGCATCCAAAACAGCTCTGTAAGAAATGTGATGTTGCTTGCAAGCTTCCTCTGACCAGTAATGAAAATGCCGTGAAACAGCAGATGAACATCTTGCCTCAGATGGAACAATGTTGAAGCCT